AATTTCCCTCTCATTTCTCAAGAATTTTCTCACAAGATCTTCCATGGCTCAATTTTGCAGCACTGATACATCAATTTAGGTTTGGAATTGGCACAAGGGCAAAATGGTCAAAATGCACACTGGAAAGTTAAAGGTTGGATTTTGGATCAAAATCAAGTTTTCAAGAATCACATTTCATCAAGACATGTTAGAATATGAAGTTGTTTCATCAAGAAAATCAAAAAGTCAAAGTTCTAAGCACTTAGAAATTTTTCTAAGTATTAAGAAAATATGATAAGTTCATAACTTCTGGCCAGATTTTCATCATGATGCGAATTGATTCATGAAGGACTTCTGACACAAGAGTTGTAAATCTCAATGAGATCTAAAACATTGAAGAACAAAACTCCTTCTAGAAATACTGGGATTTCAAGTTATACATCCTTGAAGGCGCGTCCATGAAACTAAAACACTTAGTAAACTGAGTATTTTCAAGTCAGAATTTGGTTAGAACTTCTTGGCCAGTTTTCACGTAGGTACAATCAGAGTTTGCAAAGATGATTCAAAGAGGGGTTACAAAGTATGTTACAATATTTTTGAAAAGTCTGAGAACTCCTTCAGATCATGCTGGAGCAGGAAGAATCAAAGATCAGAAGTTGAATATTTGTTCTTAATTTAAGTTACGTTTATGCTGAACTTCTGATCCAGTTTCAAGCTAGGCTGCATAATCTCGTGTTGCAGGTCTTATTGCTTGTTAAATCTCATTATCATTTAATGCTCACACCCACTTTTGAGTCTTTATCCAAATGTTTAAGTCTTTATCCAAAAGATCTTCTCACGTATGGCATAAAAGTACTACTGTTGTCCTTGAAAAAGAAACTTTTGTACAAAGTTTATTTTGAGCCCATACTTTACTTTGTTTCTGAGTGTACTTCCCCATAAATCATGCTTACAAACTCAGATTAGGCGTGATTAAAGCTGCTAACCACCCTACCTTGCCTTGAAACATGCTTGTCTAAACTTGCTTCAAAAACAAGTCAACAATCCATAACACATGATAGCTGTACTCTTAACTTCTCCAAGCTTCTAAATTCTTTGCCTATAAATTAAACTTCATTTGTAAACTGAAAGAGGATTGAAAAAGATTGGAAAAAAGCTCTGAAACCTTGCTGAAAATTCCTAAGAACTTGAAACTGCAGCACAAACACAAAACCTGCTAGTTTTTAGTTTTTGCATCCAAACTCTAATTTTCCCTGTGCGTTTTTTGGCCAAATCATCCATACAGTTTCTGGTATACGCGTAGAAGCTTTCCTAACTTCTGTTTTTAAACTGTAATACAGTCTTCACCACTCTCCTCTCAAAAAAAATCAAAACTTTACATCTTGGATGCTCCAAAATATTCCAACCATTCATAGTTCAAGTTAAGGATTGCTTCAACTTTCTGAGAACTTGAGGAAGCTGACCAGAATATCACAACAGTCTGAACCAGGCTCTAACTCACAGAACAATTTTCAGCTGCAAGGTAAGTTTCTTATGATTTTCATCTCCTCACTTAGGCATTGTTAGGTTTGCATTTTCAAAGATACAATGTAGATATCATGGCTCTGAATCTGTACATATTTATAGATTTCATTTATATGGCCTAAGTAGAGAGAATTTCAGATCATAACTTCTTGAGGAAATTAGGGTTCAGAATTAGGATTAGCAAAATTCATGCTTACTTCTGGTTTATAGTTTTGATGCTTTGTATTTCTGAAACCATGATGAAATTTGCCATAACTTCTATATTTGCATTTTCCATTTTTGTTGAGAAATGACTAAGTTGCAGATACTCTGGCTGGCACGAAGAAGAAGATGAAGCTCATCATCAAAACTTACTTTGTAATATATGTTTTTGTTTCTAATACCATATGTATAGCCATCCAGTGGTAGAGAGCGCGTATAAGGTATTAGTGTTAAGGGTCCTGGATTCTAGCCCCAAAAGCATCTTTTTATGTTTATTTCTTGACATTTTTACCCCATTATTTGTCAAACAATATTCCTGGACCAGAACTTCCAGACAAACCCTCCATTTGTTTGTCAAAACAACACTCCCGGACCAGAACTTCTAGATATTCTCATCCAACAACATTGACACCTCACTTACCCACAACCAGAACTTCTAACCTTCCAATAACACTAGAACTTCTAGGTTTCCAGTTGCATAAGAACTTCTAGGCTCTCTCGTAAATCAGAACTTTTAGGCTTTCCTTTGTTCCTAGCAACCCCAGAACTTTAGTGTGTGGATCCAGAACTTCTGGCTTCCCCCTTTTCTGCTAACATTTTCTTTTTGATTTACAGTGCACCAGAGTCAGAACTTCTGCTCTTTCTCATATTTCTATTCTTTCAGCAACATGCTGACTCTAACTCTTATTCTCTTATTATTTTTATCATCACTTTTATTTTCATTAATTAAAAACACCAAAAATACTTTATATTCATATACTTTGCTTTATTTCTTTTAAAACAAAAAGACTAAAAACATTTCCTTAAGCAAATTTATTTCTTCTCTTAACAAAAACAAGACAAATCTATTTTGCATTTCAATTCTTGTACATTACTTCAATATGGTTGTAATAGATAATTAGGACTTTAATTTCTTGCAATCCCCATTTGTAAAGTTGTACACCCCATCCCCAAGTGATCATAATAGCGTAGGATATTTACTTTCCGCAATTTATCGCTTTCATATAAATGCTAGTAATTAGGATTTGTATGGAAAGATAAAATTAATGCTTAGAAAATCCTAATTCAAGATAAATCAAGGATGAAATGCGAACACTTACGCACTTGCATCTCTAGGGTTAACTCCACTTGTTGTCTTATGAAAAATGGTCATGTTATGCATGTAGGACGTCTAGTAAAAACAATAAATAAATACAAGATCATAGTCCCTTGATGACGCTTTGAATGTTGCCTTACAATTGATCTTAGTCCATCAAAAAAAATACTAAGATATCTCACAACATTGCTATCATGACTATATGATGACCCACACCCATCCCTTTACATCCAAAGATAAGACTTCTTACCAATCAATAGTAAGATAGCAACATCTAAAGGAGGAAGAAAAGAACAAAGACTTTTTGAGTAGGTAGAAATGTTCTTAGTTGCTTGCTCATTTTCAAACACAAAACATCTTTCTAATGCACCAACATTTTTCATGAAATATTTTCAAAAGTCCAACACTTTGTATACATTCTTATAGAGACGAGAATCATTACAAAGTTAGCCTAAACGAAGGAGATTTTCAAAAATACTTTCAAAATCCACTACAAAGCACACTTTCAAACAAAAGCAAGTGATATAGCAAGCAATTAAGAGTCCACAGATAATTATGGATGAAAATGGTACTAACACATTTCCTTTTCATAATCTACCCCCCAAACTCAAGAAAATAATCTCAAAGGTATTTCCTGTTCTTTTCACCATTTCCTTTATTGGATAAAAGAAAATTCGATAGCGACTCTTGCTATCTGCAACAATTGCGATCAAACACAAAACACCCAAGTCAGTTCTCCTACCGTGTTACACAGACGTTCGTGTTTTCTGCCGTTTGATCAGCCATGACAGTCGGGAGTGATTTAGCTTTGGTCTCGAGTAAATGGAAGACAGGGAAGTAAGATTCCCACAGACGGAGCCACTGATCTTACCGAATCAGAATGGACCGTCACAGCTGGCTCAGACAGAAGTTGAATGAGATGAGGGGGGGGGGGGGGTACCTGCAAGACACTCCGATGGCAAAGTTAGTTGCAGAATGAGCAAGCAAGCGTAAGAGTTAGAAAATGTTGAATACCTGACCTTCTTGAAAGAGAGAGTATTTATAGCCCCCAGCGTTTGGCCAAGATCTCTTTATTGGGCTGATCAAGCAAACCCAATATAGAAACTGCCAGGTTTTACATGAATAGTGGGGACCCACACGTGGCCCTCTACCTGAATGATGTCCTCCGTAAGGTCAGGAGGATATGAACGCGATCTTTCCGGGACCATGAAGACTCTGTAATATCCGGAGACTCTGGTAGTCAGTCCTACGGGGAAGATGCTCGGGAGGAGCGCCTGCTCGTCAGGAGTGATCCCCGCCAGACACGAGCGCGACAAGGGATCAGTCTTGGTCGACGAGCTAGTTGAGGTATCCTCGAAGCCTTCATGGTCGAGGTGTGAGCATCCTCAATCTATTCGGGCGTTGTCTCCGCGCGGTGAGGTTGTCTCCGCGTGGTGAGCTAGTTGAGGTATCCTCGAAGCCGCCATGTTCGAGGATAGTACTGGTCAGTGGTGCAGGTTGACACACTTGAACTGGGTCTCACTGAGAGTTAGGTCAAGGGCAGACCCAGTCCAGAACAAATATCTTTAAGCATGATAAAATATTTGATAAAAATATTTGACAAAATTCGCGAGAATTTCATGATGATAATGTGAATTCTATTTTTTTTTAAATATTTCTTTTCAATTTGTAACTAAGAGGCATGATGAAATATTTGATAAAAATAGAAAATTATGAAACAATAACGGGAACAAAAAAATTACTCATTAAAATATGAAATAATAACGAGAACATGAAGTTATTGATCAAAATATTAAATAATGAAAATAAATTTACTTAATGATTCTAATATTTTTAAAAATAATGACAAAACAAAAATAAATTTTTTATTTGAAAAAATATGTTGTTAATTAAATATTTTTATATAATTTTTTTTATAAAAACCAACTTATTATTATTTTTTTAAAACAATAAATTTTATTAATTAAATAATTTTATATTTCTATTATCTCATTTTAATTATATTTTGAAAATAAATGGAGTATTTGAATTTTGTTGTTGTTGAGATTTGTGATTCTCAATTTCTTATTATACCCCCGAAACTCCCGGAGGCAAATAAAATAGAGCTGATACCCTTGCATCTTTTTCTCGTGAAGAATCAAGCAGAAAGCTTCAAGTTCACATTCACCCATCTCACTACTCGTTTGATTCCTCAAATTCAATGGTAACTGCCAACATTCTCCTCTTTTCTTCTATTATATCCCATCACTCTCTTCTATCACGTTTTAGTTAATCTTTTTCAGTCGGTTACTCTGCACACAAACCTAGGTGATATCAAGTGCGAAATCTTCTGCGACGAAGTCCCTAAAACCTCCGAGGTACTTTTCCCATACTCATCCATATTTCAACTATGGCGGCATCTCTTGTGCAATTTTAGGTCTAGTTAATAGACAATTTCGTTCTTGCCCTTTTCTGTTGTTTTTTTCATTGGTTCTTCTATGTTCTAGGGTTCTGTGCTGTGCTGTAACTCACAATTCATTTTTCATGTTTAAATGCTTGTAAATCCAGAACTTTTTAGCGCTGTGTGCGAGTGGTTACTATGATGGGACTGTATTTCACCGCAATATTAAAGGCTTTATGATTCAAGGTGGAGACCCAACTGGTACTGGCAAAGGAGGGACTAGTATATGGGGCAAGAAATTCAACGATGAGATAAGAGAATCTTTGAAGGTGACTTTGTTTGCGTGGTTGTTAATATGAATTATGAAACCGTGCTTTTGGGGGCTATGCCTTTCTTTGGGTTGTATTTCCCTCTAAACAACCGAAATTACCCCTTAAATTTACAATGTTTTAAGGATAATTTGAGTTTTCAATCTTATTTAAGTTGAGACTCAACATTAACCTTCCTTCATAGTTGTTAATGCATATTATAGTGAGATATGAGAAAGAAGAATAGAGAAAGCTAAAAGAGAAGAGAGAGAATGTCAGCCTTCTGGTCAATACCAGGAATGTGGCAGACACTGAGAGGCTTGGTGAGGATGTCATCCTTCTGGTCAATACCAGGAATGTGGCAGACAGTGAGAGACTTATTAAGGACCTTTTCTCTTACAAAAAAGAGGTCAATTTCCATATGCTTTGTTCTTGCATGAAGAACAGGGTTATGAGCCATAGCAACTGTGCTCTGGTTGTCACAATAGATGGCTGGAGTTGTCAAGGGAATTTTTAGTTCAGCTAGCAAAGTTTGAACCCATAAAACTTCAGCTGTGGTGTGAGCCAAGCTGTGACTCTGCCTCAGCACTAGAACGAGCAACAACATTTTGCTTTTTGGACCACCAAGAGATCAAATTAGGGCCTAAGTACACAACTGACCCAGAGGTGGATCTTCTATCATCTGGATCAGCAGTCCAATCACCATCATAGTAGGCCTGCAGAGAGAACAGAACAGTGGAGGCAAGAGTGAACAATAAACCAGAGGTGATAATGCCTTTTAGGTAGCGCAGAATACGCTTGACAGCTAGCCAATGGAACTCTAAGGGGTGTGCCATGAACTGACATACTTTGTTAACAGCATAGCAGATTTCTAGGCGTGTAATTGTTGCATACTGCAGGGCCCCTACAACGGACCTGTAGTGAGAAGCATCTGACAAGGCAGCAGACCCTGTTTTGATGAGTTTGGTGGTGGATGCCATAGGAGTAGCAATTGGATTGGAGTTCTCCATATCAGTTTTGATTAGCAAGTCCCGTAGGTACTTAGATTGAGTGAGAAGGAGATTACCATTGGAAATTTCTTCACCTCAAGGCCCAAAAAATAATCGAAGTCACCAAGTTGTTTGAGAGAAAACACATGATTTAGTTGTTGAGTAACTTGCTTGATGAGAGGAGGAGAGTTGCATGTGATGATTATATCATCAACATAAACTAGCATATAAATGATAGCACTGTGATGCTTGTAGATGAACAGTGAAGTATCACACTTGCTGTTCGGAAAGCCAAAGGATAAAAGAATGGTTTTGAGTCTTTCGAACCATGTCTTGGGACCTGTTTGAGGCCATACAAGGCCTTGTACAAGTAAATCCAGGGGGTTGCATCATATAGACCTTCTCTTCAAGAATGCCATTCAAAAAGGCATTGTTTATATCCAACTGCTGCAGAGGCCAATTGTTCGTGAGAGCAAGAGTCAAAATAATTCTAATTGTGACCGGTTTAATAACAGGGGAGAAAGTTTCATTAAAGTCAAATCCATGGACTTGATGGAACCTCTTAGCAGCAAGTCTTGGTTGATAGCTTGGGCGTGACCAAGTGTTAACCATGGGCTGAGCAAATTGAGGTCCACCAATTGGTTGATACGGATTGTAGAAATTTTGTAGGTTCATTGTTTGAAAATCAGCAGGTATGTTAGGTTGAAACTGTTGATTGAACTTGTGATAGCAATTAGCAACAAGGTGACCATATTTGAAGCAAACTTGATATTGAATATTGCTGAACCTACCTCTCCCACAGCCGCGTCCATCACCACGGCCAAATGCACGACCTCCTCTTGAATAGGTTGGATTAAAGGTTGAATTCACAACTTGTTCAGTGTTCTTGTTATTGGAGTTATCAGTTTCAGGTTGAGAATTGGCTTGAGTGAGATTCACTGAGGCAACCACCTCCATTTGAGAATGTTTCTTATACTTGTTGAATCTCATCTCATGAGCAAGAAGTAGAGCTTCAACTTTTTCAAGTTCTACTGAATCAAACTCGCTTTCAATGACTGAAATAACATAGACAAAGTCTTGAGGAAGACCTTTAAGAATCACATCAATGTGTTGTTGATCTGGAACTGGATCTCCTACTGAAGCAAGCGCATCAACAAGAACTTTGATGCGAACCAGGAAATCACCAACAGATTTGTCTTCAAGTGTTGTAGATCTGAGTTCCGCTCGTAGTTGTCTTGCTTTCGCACGTGTAAGCTTTTGAAAATGCGCAAGAACGCGTGAAAGAATCGAAGGTGAAAGCGTGGATTGAAGCCATGTCATAAGCCACTGATCTTGCGTAATCCAGGTGCGATACGCAGGGTTCTCACGAGCAGTTGCACGATCTTCATCAGTTAGGTATTGATTCGGTATGTCACGAAGGTAAAAGTAGTTTTGAAGATTATTCGCGTTAACAAAAGGATCTACTTGTTGGCGCCAAAGAAGGAAATTCTTCTCATCAAGTTTTTCTGTGATTTTGAGTTGGAATGACATAGATGTTGTGGTGGCCGGAGCTGTAGTTACCGGAGTCGCTGCCATGGATAGAACCGAAGCTCTATTATACCATATTATAGTGAGATATGAGAAAGAAGAAGAGAGAAACTGATTCTGTTATTATATTGAATTGGAATGGAGCATGATGCTCTATTTATACAAGAGGAGTTGAACATTCAAGAGTTGAATTATTCAAGCTCTACATTTAAGGATGACCTTAATTATTCTATAGTGTTGAATTTTTCTTATTCTATTAAATTAAGGCTGACCTTAATTATTCTATAGTGCTGATTTTTTATATCCTAAGATATAACTCTAATAATGCACTTCAAGCGTCATATGTGCTTTGATTTATAAATATTTTTTGAGTTGAATTATTTGTTTAATTTTACATTAAATAAATGTATAATTATTATATGTAATTTGTTCAAAAAATGTTCTAATAGAGTGGTCATCCCGCTATCCGACTTTTGGGGTTGGCTGCTCCGAGTCGCTATCCGGGAATGATTACTTTTTTAAACACATCACTATTGTTCCTCTATATGCAATCTAGTACAAAATGTGCTCAAATAGCATCGTTGCTCTACAGTACTCTAGTAACTAGTGTAGTGGAATTTGAAAAAGTAGCTATTTTCCGTGATCTGCGACGGACAGTTGGGTTTAAGTTTAACAAAGTATGTTTGCTTCTACTGAAAAAAATCGATAGAACAAATTAAAACAGAACATAACTGATTTTATTCTCTTTTGTCCATCAGTCTAGTGCTACCTTTGGCAGTCTGTTATACTTCTTAATCAATGCCAATATCAGAACTATGAAATATGGGTTTATGATAGGAACCACGTGACTTATAGTGGAGGGGGGAGTACCTCTTGTGCATCATAACACTCACAGGCCCATAATATGGAGAGTCTATTCTAGAAGGGGCAAAAACGGAAATTGAGAGATAATTCTGTTAAGCAGTGGAGGTGAGAGAATGATTGGAATCTTTCCACTTTATAAGGAATAGAAGAGAGGTTGAGAGGATTACCTTGGAAGAATTAAGACGTTAGATATGAGTAGGAGACTTTAGCTACCTATAGGAGCTTTTGCTCTGTGTCAAATTTAAGGGTCATTTCCCTCTCTGTATTTTCCAATTTTATCATTAATAAACAATCATTCTGCTGGCCATTTCTTTATTCTGTGTTACTATGTTATTAAGTACTGTGGGTTCTTAACAAATTGGTCCGATCTATCGGATCTTCGACGACAGAGCCAGTGAATGCCACCCAAGATGGTGACATTGCCGGCATTTACGAAGATGGAAGCTAGGGTCGAAATGTTAGAGAGTGAGATCTCGGAGGTACGATCAACTCTAGACGAAGTGCAGAATACGATGACAACCAACCACGCGAACTTGATAGCAATGTTGGAAAATGCTTGGGTAAGACGTTGACGATGGAGACACGATGGGTTCTGTTAAAGGTTTGCCGGCGGGAACGAGAAAAGGGAGAACCACATAGTACAATTATCAACAATCTTCGTGAGGATGCTTTGATGGGGTTTCGTCATTCCGTGAAGAAAGTCGAACTTCCATGTTTGACGGTGAGGATCCAGCAGGGTGGATCTCGCAAGCGGAGTTCTATTTCCAGGTTCAAGATACGTCGCCGGAGGTGAAGGTGAATTTGGCACAATTGTGCATGGAGGGTCCAACGATCCATTTTTTCAACTCTCTTCTGATGAAGAAAGGTCATTGACTTGGGAGGGTTTGAAAGACGCTATGTGGAATGTTATGGCGGTCATGGCGAGGGAGAAGTTTATGAGCAGTTGTCAGAACTGCGTCAGAAGGGGACCATTGATGAGTATATCACTGAATTTGAGTACTTAACAGCTCAAATCCCTAAATTACCAGAAAAGCAATTTCAAGGGTACTTTTTACATGGATTGAAAGGAGATATTAGAGGGAAGGTAAGGAGCTTAGCGGCGATGGGCGGAATGACGCGTGCCAAACTCTTGCAGGTTGCACGCGCGGTAGAGAAGAAGGTCAAGGGAGAAAGTGGATCGAGTCACAATCGTTTTTCCAAACCAGGGGGAGGATCCAGTTACAAAACCCATGGAAATGGGTCGGGTCGTAGTAGTGGATCAGATTGGGTGTTTGTTAAAAGTACACAAGAACGTGGAATTGGGGGTGTGGATAGAATCTCTACTGAGCCCAGAAAAGACGAGATGGGCCACACAGAGGGAAAGAGAAATGGGCCAAGGGATAGAGGTCTTTCTCACCTCACCTATTCTGAGTTATTGGAAAGAAAACAAAAAGGCTTATGTTTTAAATGTGGTGGGCCTTTTCACCCAATGCATAAGTGCCCAGATAAACATCTGAGAGTGTTAATAGTAGAAGAAAATGATGAGGAGATTAATGGAAACCAAATTCTGGCGGTGGAAGTGAATGAAAAAGACGACGAAACCGATGGGGAGATAAGTGTGATGAGTTTGAACAACATCATCACTACCAGCAAGGAGAGACCTCAAACAATCAAATTTGAAGGAAAGATCCAAGGCGTGCCGGTGTTAGTACTTGTGGATAGCGGAGCGACGCACAGTTTCATTGATCAAAAATTGGTGCGGAGAATGGGTTGGGATACAGTAGATACACCAAATATGACCATTAGGCTGGGAGATGGTTTTCAGGTTTCAACCAAGGGTCATTGTACTGAGTTGGAAGTGGAAAATCGGAGAATTCAAAATTAAGTGTGCACCTCACTTGTTTGAATTGGGGGGACCTGATCTGATACTTGGCGTCGAGTGGCTCAAAACGCTAGGGGACACGATAGTTAATTGGGATAAACACACCATGAGTTTTTGGAGTGGGGAGAGATGGATTAACTTTCAAGGTGTAAAGGTTAATAGCAACACTGGCGAGGCATTACAGAGTTTGCTAAGTAGGAGCAAGAAGCACAACAGAGGAGTATTGTGGACAATTGATAGTGAGTGAACCGTCAGAGATGCAGATTTCTGAAAGCCAACAGGGAGAGTTACAGGGGGTGTTAAAACTACACGAGAAGGTGTTTGCAGAGGTGGTAGGGTTACCTCCTTACCGGGGGAGGGAGCATGGGATTAACATAAAACCAGGTGAAGGCCCAGTCAATGTTAGGCCTTATCGCTACCCCCACCTTCATAAAAATGAAATTGAGAGGCAAGTGCAAGAGATGCTTGATTCCGGAATCATTAGGCACAGTATGAGTGCTTATTCCAGTCCGGTTATTCTGGTGAAGAAGAAGGATCAGACGTGGCACATGTGTGTCGACTATCGCGCTCTTAACAAGGTTACAGTTCCAGACAAATTCCCAATCCCTGTAATTGAAGAGCTACTTGATGAATTACACGGGGAAAAGTATTTCTCCAAACTGGATTTGAAATCCGGATACCATCAAGTGAGAGTTAAGAGCAATGACGTACACAAGACTGCATTTAGGACTCATGAAGGTCATTACGAGTTCTTGGTTATGTATGCCGTTTGGATTAATGAATGCTCCATCCACATTCCAAGGGTTGATGAATGAAGTATTCAGACCTATGCTGCGAAAAGGGTTTTTTTCTTTTTCTTTTTTCATGACATTCTCATATATAGTAGAGAGTGGCAGACACATTTGAGTCAGTCGGAGCAAGTGTTTCAGCTCCTTGAATTACATCAATTGAAGGCCAACAGGAAGAAATGTCAATTCGGCCAAAACAAGGTGGAGTATTTAGGGCACATGATTTCCGAACAGGGAGTTGCAGTAGACCCTAACAAGTATGAAAGTGTGCTCAAGTGGCCAAAGCCCAAGAATGTAAAAGGGGTAAGAGGATTCTTAGGGCTAACGGGCTATTACTGTAAGTTCATTCGTGATTACGGTAAAATAGCCAAGCCATTAACAGAACTCACAAAGAAAGAAGCATTTCGATGGGGGGAAGGGGAGGCTCAACAAGCGTTTGACACGCTCAAGAAGAAGCTGATAGAAGCTCCAGTTTTGGCGTTAAGGAATTCATAATCGAGTGTGATGCATCCGAAACGGGGTTGGGAGCAATTCTGATGCAGGACAGAAATCCTATTGCATATTTCAGTAAGGCACTAGGTGTGAGGAATTTGACAAAATCAGCTTATGAGAAAGAGCTTATGGTGTGTGTGTTGGCTGTCCAACATTGGAGGCCACACTTACTGGGTCGAAAATTTGTTGTGTCCACTGATCAGAGGAGTTTGAAGGACTTGTTACAGCTAAAGATTATCACAGGAGAGCAACAGAATTGGGTTGCTAAACTGCTGGGATTCAACTTTGACATCTGATACAAGCCAGGCAAGATGAATCAAGGGGCAGATGCATTATCCAGAATTCATGAGCAAGCAGAATTCAGTAGTTGCATGTCTTATCTCTGCTGGGAGGATCATCAACTAGTTTGTCAAGAGGGTACAGAACGATGTAAAGCTCAAGAAAATTTATGAAGAATTGCAAGAAAATCATCTAGCACACCCGGGCTTCAGCATTCATCAAGGGACTTTGTTGTATAAGGGAAGGTTGGTTTTGTCATCAACATCTACCTTAATCCCAAAGATGTTGCAGGAATTTCACAATACCGCACAAGGGGGTCATTCGGGGTTCCTCCGAACTTATAAGAGAATAGCCGTTAACGTGTACTGGCCAGGAATGAAGAATGCAATACAGAATTTTATCAAGAGTTGCGATGCTTGTCAAAGGCATAAATATCTCGCTGTCTCCCCTGGAGGTCTTCTCCAACCTCTACCGATTCCGGCAAATGTGTGGGAAGATTTGTCGATGGACTTCATTACCAGTCTGCCCAAGTCTAAGGGATATGAAGCAGTCATGGTGGTTGTTGACCGCTTGTCCAAATATAGTCACTTTGTGCCCATCAAACATCCTTATACGGCTAGAGGAATAGCGGAGATCTTCACTAATGAAATTGTTAAGAGTCCCATATCGGATAATATATGGCCTGAACATGAGTTTATAAGTGGGAGTAATCCTCACCTTACAAGCCGGTTTTGTAGGGTCGAGTTAGACCCAATCACACATTCCAAGAGAAATCATAAGATTACACGGAATTCCCGGATCAATAGTTAGTGATTGAGACCCAGTATTTATGAGTCATTTTTGGAGAGAGATTTTCAAGCTACAGGGGACTCATTTGAAGTTCAGTTCTGCGTATCATCCCGAAACTGACGGGCAGACAGAGGTAGTTAATTGCTGTCTGGAAACTTACCTTAGATGCATTGCTGCTGATCAACCTAAAGTGTGGGTGATGTGGATTCCCTGGGCAGAGTATTGGTTCAATACGACATATCACTCAGCCACAAATCAAACACCATTTGAGGTGGTATACGGTAAGAAGGCCCCAGCTATGGTTCGTTGGAGCATTGGTGAAACTAGGGTGGAATCAGTGCAAAGAGAATTGCAAGACAGAGATGAAGCAATCCGTCAATTGCGTAGCCAACTGTTGAAGGCCCAGAATCGAATGAAAGCTCAAGCTGATAATCACAAAGTGGAAAAATCTTTTGAGATTGGTGAATGGGTGTTTGTGAAACTGAGGGCTCATCGTCAACAATCCGTGGTCACACGTATTCATGCCAAGCTAGCAGCTAGGTACATTGGTCCTTACCCTGTGATTGATAGAGTGGGGACAGTGGCATATAGATTGAAATTGCCAACAGGCTCAAAGATACATCCAGTTTTTCACATTTCTTTGCTCAAGAATGCAGTAGGGGATTATCAAGATGAGAGTGAATTACCTGATCAATTAGATGGAGAAGATGTCGAAGTGTTGGAACCCGAGAAGGTGTTGGTTGCTCGTACTATCAAGCAACACGGTGAAGAGATACAACAGTGGCTCGTGCAATGGAAGGGGAAGAGTGTTGATGAAGCGACTTGGGAAGATGTAGTTACTATTAAGAGTCAATTTCCAACCTTCAACCTTGAGGACAAGGTTACAGTTTCAGAAGGGAGTATTGATAGGAAACACGTGACTTATAGTGGAGGGGGAGTACCTCTTGTGCATCATAACACTCATAGGCCCATAATATGGAGAGTCTATTCTAGAAGGGGCAAAAACGGAAATTGAGAGATAATTCTGTTATGCAGTGGAGGTGAGAGAATGATGGAATCTTTCCACTTTATAAGGAATAGAAGAGAGGTTGAGAGGATTACCTTGGAAGAACTAAGTTGTTAGATATGAATAGGAGGCTTTAGCCACCTATAGGAGCTTTTGCTCTGTGTCAGATTTAAGGGTCATTTCCCTCTCTGTATTTTCCAACGTTATCATTTAATGAACAATCATTCTGCTGGCCATCTCTTTATTCTGTGTTACTGTGTTATTAAGTACTGTGGGTTCTTAACAGTTTATTCACGGAGTTTCTATTGGATAACTGTCACTTTCGTTAGCATTACATCTACTGTTATTAAGATAATCCAATTGAAAAACACAGCTTGCTTTTTAAATTACTTCAAGCTATTTCATAGTTGATAGTTTTTCTATAACTAAAATTTCAAAATACTCAAAAGAATTCTCTTATTCGCAAATTGCAATAGCTAACTCAGTGTTATTTCTTACACCTCTTAACTCTAAGTTTATGAGATTTATCATTTTTAAGAAAATATCAATTTTATCAAAGTGGGCTGTCCCTTCCCTACTCTTTATCATATGAAAAATGACATTCCAAGTTCCAACACTTAATTATCAGGTCAAATGTCAATTTTTCTGTGATTGAAATATAGTTATCTTGCCGTTATATTTATGTATCTTTTTGTCATCATTTTTTATTTATGGCGTGGACCATCATAAGCTTAACGGGACGTTTCTTGTGACGTGCTTTATGGAGCAATTACATACATTTTCTTAATCTGATTATTGTGCCCTTTTTGTGTGTTTCAGCACAATGCAAGGGGAATGTTGTCAATGGCTAACAGTGGTCCAAATACTAATGGAAGTCAGTTCTTCATAAGTTATGCAAAGCAGCCGCATTTGAATGGACTATACACTGTGTTTGGAAGAGTAATTCATGGATTTGAAGTTCTTGATCTCATGGAAAAGGTATCTTAATTTTCTGCTGATGTTATTTTTATTTTTATTTTTAGTAAACCTGATACTTGTATGCTATGTTTAGAAATTTATTTAACGAAGCGTGAATGAGATCACACACAACGGAAGAGAGTTATCGTTCCATTGAATAAATATTTTTATAGAAAAAGAATACTGTGTAGTATTAGATGGAATGAATTTTATCATGCTTCATCCTTTTTCATCTAATTTTGAACAATCAAAGTAATTGATCCTATTATGATTACATTTTATTTCACCCTTTCCATTCATTTCCGTCAATCCAAACATAACCCAGGTTTTGGTTTTGGCAACTAAGTAAAAGGTCTCTACATTTTTGCAACAATGTTGTATTTATGCATTTTTTTGCTACCGATATACACTTAAATACCTCATTTAGAATTCTCAGTGCAATATGCACACTTACTAAACATATGAGAAAAGAATAAATGATGTATGTTTTTGTTGTGCAGACTCCAACCGGGGCACAAGATCGACCACTTGCAGAGATAAGGCTCAATCGTGTAACAATGCATTCTAATCCACTTGCAGGTTAGCCTGGTTTCTGCAGTTCATGTAAAATTGAAGTTTCAATTTCCCAAAACAACAGATCTAACTAAGTAGCGTTGAGGATAATTCTTACATGCCGAATTCTGTACTCGGTCATATCTTCTTCTGATTCAAAGATTTAATCTGGTAAAATAGTATAATGTACATCAAACATAATTGAGACAATTTTTTTTATATGGTGATTTTCCCCTTTTCTTTTTGGTGGTTAATCGAGACAATTTTATGTGATGGCAAAAGTTACTTGAGTTTCCTAGATTTAAGTACTCTTGTTGTCTTGGTTCTGTTGTTGCCATTCACTTTTTAATGGATATTTTGTTGCCTTCAGAATAACTATTAAGCATAACGAATGTCTCATAAATGAGATTTGAAAATATCACAAACTCCAAAGGTAGTTTAAACTTAGTAACAATAGAAAATGCTGGAAAATAGTCACTATTAGGGAATCTTTTTCAGTCATATATATCTGCTATGAAGTGAATGAGAAGTTTCATTTCACACACAATACAACTTGTAAAATAGGAGCAACCTTCCATTGGTCGATGCATGAATCTAGTGTTCATGTATACATAAGTACTTCCCAATATAAAAGCCAATACATAAAGTAACTTAAAATAAGACATGAAAATGACAATTTAAACTAATATCGAGCAACAACAATAAAGTCATCATCATCGAGAACTTGAACATCTTTTTCTCCAACAAAATTCTCTCTACCCATTTCCTTCACCAAATTCACAAACTCTACCCTTTGTTCTATATTTAGAGGTACATATGGCAACCTAAAAACAGGTTTGATAACCCCAAGTTGAGCAAGAGCAGTGTTCAAAGCAATAGGGCTTGGCTCTGAAAAAAGCCAATCAAACAAAGGGATAAGCTTTGAATTCAATAAAGGATTCTTACCCTCAAACATGAGTTCTTTCATTAAACCAGGAACCAAGTTACTTGCAACAGATTGAACTCCAACAGCACCACAATCCCATCTAGCTTCATGGCTCAAACTATCAACTCCCCACACAACAATCCCTTTATCAGTATACATTTTCACCCTCTCACCTCCCACGGTCTCTTTCACACCAACCAAATTAGGGTTTTGAGCCAAAATTTCAACCACACTAGGAGGGACATCTTGACCACTCCTTGCAGGTACATTGTATATAATGACAGGTCCTATAGAAAGCAAACTATTGTAATGTGCAACCAACCCTTTCATTGAGGTTCTTCCATAGTAAGGGTTTATATGAAGTGCTGCATCCATTCCAACAGCAAAACCTCGCTCGGTCGCCTCAATCGCTTCATTTGTACAGTTGCTTCCTGCATTACCGATAACTTTAACTTTGTCGCCGAAACAGTTGACTGTATGAGCAATCAGCATTATCTGTTCATCCCATGTCATTAAGTGGCCTTCACCAGTTGAGCCAGCAACAAGAATACCTTCAACGCCATTCACAATTTGTATATTCACCAAGTTATCATATGCTTCCAGATCAATTTTTCCTTGAGGTAAATACGGAGTCTTAACCGCTGTGATAAGTCGCAAACTCCGTAAATCCTCAATCGATTTCCTGTCAACATAATACATGTAAAACATAAACATAAACACATAATATACAAAATAACTGAATTATGGAATATAGTTTGAGAATGAATTCATATATATGAAGTAAAACATAAATAATTCAAATTCACCTATCTTTGACAACTGTTGAGGTGCTGATCTGGAGGGGAACATCAAGTCTTGCAGCTGCTTGATTCATTTTGCAAAATCTAAAATGATTATGAGAACACACATTAGAGTATAAGCTAGAAGGAACTAGAATAAAGCAAATAAAGTGAACAGAAGAATAAATAGAGAAAGAGATTATTCAACCTTGTATTGAAGTTTGAGGGGAGAAGGTGTAAATTGGATCTTGTGAAGAAGGAGCTACTACAATAAGCTTTTAACATGTTCAAAAGACGTTTGGATGAGTTGGCGGAAAAGAAAAGGTCAAAGGAAGAATAACAGTAGACAAACAAACAGGTACAAAGAAGAATGATGTGAGCAACACCAACTTAACAAAGATCAAAAGTAATAATGCATACTAAATAATAAATAAATAAATAAATGTTTAAATGGAAATTATTATGAAGGAGACGTAGTGGGTTTGTCTTCATTGTTGTAGTATATAACAAATTGGCATTGATTACCAAATAAAAAATGGGCATTGATTACCAATAAAAAAACTCATGGGATAATAGAGGGTTTAACATGAATGAATTTATAATAGGGTGACAAACAGGGATGTTTGTTCTGTTTATATCCGTTCCACAAATGCCTGTAAAAAAATGGAATATGATAGAACGAGTATAGTTGAGTGTTCGTGCCTAAAACCTTGACTTATACTACAAAAAAAATGAGGGAGGGGCGGTGCGGGTCAGTTGACACTGCACCATTTTAGCTAGATTCTCCCTAGGTTAGGTTGAATTTGACGATGAACCTATTTTTTCTTGATTGAGATATATGATCGGATGGTGTTAATGTTACTCTCCTGACTTATTGTTATTATTCAGTTAAAGTTTATGCTAATTATTTTTCAATTGTTACGGCTTTTGAATTGATCTTGATAGTGGTGACTAATGACTCTAGGGCTATCTATCTGAATTACATAAAGCTGTCAAAATGGGCTAGTCCATATGGTCTGGTCCGCCTGACCCAAAAAATCATCGGTCTTGGGATTTTAAATAAAGTCCGCTATCCATTAGGGCTAGTCCGCAGGGACCATGGGTAGTCCATTAGACTCGCATAACTATACATTTTTTAAAAAATATATTAATTCTTATATTGTGTTACTCCAAAATAACACATTGATTTTCTCACTTCATTAAATTTTGTCTCTATTCTGTTGAATCTTTCTCTTTTAAATATTATACATTAATATAATAAACACTCTTTCTTTGTATTCTATTAGTTTCTCTTATGTTAAATATTTGAGCATTATTCTCTATAACTTAGACATGTATAGTATTTAAAAATATATTTTAGTATTTATAAAAGATAATATAGTAATTAAAAATGTATTATGTTCAAAATACTATAATTTTTTTATTTTATTTATAATAAATATTATGGATTTTTTATTAAAAAAATTTGTTTAGGATCGGTTAGCCCGAAGTCCATCTAGGACCGAACTTAGGTAGTAATTTTGAGGCCTATATTATAATAAGACTTTTTGGCCTAGTCTTAAAAAGCCCCGACCCATCAGGCTAACCCGTTTAATGTCGGGTAGTCCATTTTGACCGCTCAAACTTTAACTATTGGATTCTCTAATTGACTAGGGATAATATGATTAGGATTTGTGACTAAGGGATTAATGATCTGCATTGCCTAATCTGACAGGACAATTGGCCTAAGGGACCGAAGAGTTGACGCCTAGGTTAGTGAGCTATACGCAAAGGGATTAAGTATAATTGTAGTGTTAGTCCTTCGTTTAACCTTGTAGCCAGTTCATGTCTTTTAATGTGCGTTTCATCAATCACGTTGAAATAGGGGATTATGATAATTCGACATGACCGCCTTTATTCTTAATCATTTAATTTTTTTTTGCGTTGTTGACCAAACAAACTTGCAAACCCCCAATTACTATTTTAGTTTAATCGCACAATAGTTCTTGTTTTAGATTTGCAATCCCCGTAGAGACGAATTTATATTTTATTACTTCGATAACATAGCTAGTACACTTGCTAGTATTTTGTCATCAAGTTTTTGACGTCGTTGCCAGGGTGTTTATGTTGCTGCGGTAAAGCGGCAAGCAAAAAGTAAAGTATTATTTTTACCGAGTGATATAGGTTATATCATATCGTGTCCACAAAGATTGGTTATTAAATTGTCGTTCGACAAATTCTCGCGTTTATGAGTTTGGTTTGAATTGGTTTGTAAAGAAAATGTTATCAACAAAAAAATAAATGTAAACAAAAGAAAAAAAATTAAGGAAGAACTTATCAAGGCTGCATATAATCTACTCATCACATACTTAAATCTAGCGACCAGTTACATTCAACCTAACAATACTCATCAATGTCACTATATATCACTCACAACTTAAGTCATTTCTAATCTAAATTGAGAGACCAACTGTATCACCAAGGAAATGATCTCTCTACCTCTTCAACAACACAGAAGACAACTATGTAATCGCACTGACGATCTCTCAATACAGCACAACCACACATAGGTATTAAACTTTGATATCCAAGTAGATGTCAGCTCTAAATCTATCTCTAGAGTTTCGAAACTAATAGATAATCATCCTAGATAAGAATCTAAGCAGTATATAACTCAAATCCCTAGCACAGAGCAAAAATCTAAGACAACAATTCACAAAGGTTTGAAAAGCAAGTTTAATATAACGCCATGAGCGACAAATATACATATGTTAAGAGTAAAATATATACAAAACTCAACAAAAGAGAAATACATAGAGAGGAGAAGAGATAAACCACAAATCTTCCGATTTGTCAGCTCCGGTCAATGAGAAATTCACCTCCAATCATCCATAAGCAAAATCCTAGTGTTGTTATCTAAGCTAATCCACTACAAAAATGAGGTGGATGAAATTGGGAGACAAAAATTCACCCCCAAATCCATCACTCTCCAAAATGACAAGAAATGAAAATATAATAAAAATTGTGACCCATAACCGTCGCCCGACGGCATAAAAGCGTCGCCCGGCGATATTCCTTATACACTTGGCCCGAAATAAGTCACGTTCTCAACTGAAACAAATATCTAGTGTCTCCTGGCGATCACAATTCATCGTCCGACGACTCTCTTTATTTTTGTCTGGCGACACAAATGCGACGCAAGGCAGAGACTTCATCAAAATTGGTCTTCAAAGTTTCTCCCGGCGACGCTCCCTTTTTCCTGGTGACGCATGACAGGTAAGCAAATTTTATTGCTTTCTCTGCATAACTTCCAATGGCCTCAAATTTTGGCCTTATTCATTTATTAATC